AATTTTATTTTTAAAAGTAAGTCTTTTATATCTAAAAAATAAATTGTATGAATTTATATCAAAAAATTAAGTAAAAGTCTTTTTTTATATCTACAACAAAAATATAAAACAAAATTTTTTCACAATTCAATCTGCATAGTTCTTCACGATTCTAGTTCACACTTAATCCCGATTTAACCCTCACGGTTCAATTCCGATTCCGATTTTCCGGTTCAGGGACAACTCCAATTCCCATTTTGGTTCAGGTTCCAAAAATTAGGAATCTTAATCAGATCATGAAGGTTCCTAGTTCAAAACTGAATTGGATCAGAATTAGACAGTTTGGTCCAGTCCAATCTAGTTTTTTTACAGTTCGGTCTAGGCCGGTTCACAGCCTAAATCGGAACCGGCCCATGAATAGGACTAGGCAACAGTACTCATTTCTTAAAAAATAAAAATGAAATATGGACAGCAAAATAGATTAGTTCACCTTGGAAACATGAGAAGGAGAAGAGCCTGATACACACACACATTAAAAAAAAAATAAAAATTGTAACACAAGCCTACATAATCATAAGCATAGATGTCTAGGTCATGAACAGCAAATGGCTCTCAAAGCGAGAAACAATATCCAATCAAGAGAGGACAATCAACATTTCATTTCACAAATAATTGTGCACAGGGCAACTCATGTATGGAATCCAAATTATCGCCCCAAGCCATCATCCAAAGGGTCATTGTACCTTCAATTCATTAGTACAAGGAAGCTTGTCATAAACTTGCAAGCATGAAGCAAACCAGTAACTACCTCTCCCATGGTGAGCACTTCCAGTGCATCTTTATGCTTCTTTTTGATTAGCTGTTTATCATGAAGCATGAGGCCTATCATTATAGACCTATTAAATTAACATCAAACGACAATTATGGAATTCAAATACTAAGGAACAGGCTTGGTAGCATATTAGACACAAATATATAAACAGTGAACCATACAATCCATGTCCATAGTGTAACTTTGATCAGTTTCAGAACCCAATTGCACTCTCTCTCCACTTTGATTTTCTAGATCTATATTGAAGTCATCAAGTGGTAATGAACCATTTGCATGCCTCTTGGCTAGCAAAGTAATAGAAGCCCTGTAAATTTCATGATGTTATCAGTAAATCTTTAGATAAACTACGGAGAAACCTGTTTTTTCAGAAATGGAGAACAAGAATGACAACAGACATCATAATCTTATCTATGTTCTTCTCTTAAATGCATTTTCAAACAAACAAGCTTCTAAGATAATGTGCCATTCATATACAAAAACATATAGCAGTCACCATTTATTCATAGCTGATGAGCAAAGCACCATTATAATTTACCATATGTTTTCTCTAGCCTAGGAGGTAATGCCTTAATATATCTCTAAGGAGTAAAAGACATAAAAGGTTGAAACTAACTGACAACCAAGATATAAAAAGGATGTGAATCAAGAGGCATACCTAAAAAGATAACAACTCTATGCATCCCACAGCCAACAACACTATGGCCAGAAGCCATGCTGTAACATAATGAGCATCTTTAACTGACCTTAAGCATAAGTACTAATGAGAGTGCAAGAAAATTTTGGAAGCCATGCTTGGCTATTCAACACAAAAATTTGCAGCTTCATCCATAAAATCCATGGTAATAGCATAAAGCTTATGTACTGGAATGTAAAAACCATTAAAAATGACTTAATCACCTTCCCTTTTTTTTTTTTTTTTTTTTGAGGGGGGGGTGGCCACAGGTGAGTTGCGGAAACCAGTAACAAAAACCAATGTGGCATCTCCAAGAGTGCTAAGTACAGATAGTGAGAATGTATAGGTTCCAAACCATTCATTGGCTTTTGTCATCTCTGCACAGCCATAATACCGGAAATGAAGAAATTATTGGAGAACTACTCCCATGCCAAACTCCCATCTAGATCATTAGAATGCTCCAAAAATTCTCAAACATTAGAAATCATAAAACATACCTAAGTTCATTGTAAGAAATCAATCTACCAAGAAATCTCCTATAGCTCCCAAATGAGGTACATGCATAGGGGCTGATCATCTATGCACTTAGGTTAACTATTGGCAGTGTATCTAAACCTTAAAAATCGATAGTATCAAATGCCGGACGTACCATCCTCCAAGAAAAGGGTTGATGACCACACCGACCGACCGAATAAAATGATTATTCTTCTTTACTTGCGTAATCACTATTGAGTAGTACTGTAGCAATATAAGTAGAAGCATGAAGTAAAGATTCTTATTGTAAGCATTATGGTACAATGTGAACAAGATACAAATAGAAATCAATACAATTACAAATATTCAATTTTCCCATTTCGATCATCCAACCCATACACAATACCCCCAGTAACCACAAGTCTTACAACTTAATAATTCCATCCCCAGAGAAGACACAATTCAATGAATTCATACATTCGAGTATCTCTTCTTGCTTAATTAGACCCAAGAAAAAAATCCAAATCTGCCGCCAAAAACCAGTTAAATCAATGATCGAAATACTACATATACAGAGAGTGGGTATTTTAGAAAGACTCACTTGAGTCGATAGAGCCTAGTAGAGCGCTCCTACTCGGCCATCAACTCCACCTTCAGAGTTTTTCCCTCATCAGCAACAACCGAATGTCCAAAACCTTAGCATTGTTCTTCACACCCAGTTGACTAAACTTCTAGGTCCCTTCGCCGTCCTTCAAAAGTTTGCCTGCACATATCAAATTGATCGTCCCTACTTCAAATCCCTATTAATTCGCAACCTCTTCCGTCAATATGGGCACTGTCCATTCCTCCACTTCTACCCCAAAAACCCCCAACGCGCCTCAGCAATCCCTAGTTTTGCCATAACATACAAGTAAAAATTATTTGTTTAGGCTGTGCTATCATTGGATTGAAATAACTTAGCAGAAACGTACTAGAGATTTTTAGCTCGAGATTTAATTTTCAATTATTCATTCCCTCCACAATGTTGTGGAAGAAAATAATATTACATAAAAGATCCGAAGGTCCTCAATGTGTCAAATTTAAGCCGCACCAAAATAAATTTATATTAGATTCAAATATGAATCGTACAGTTATATTTTATATCTAAATTTAACTTAAAATTTTATAAAAAAATATGCTTCATACTACTATACTTAAATTTAAATAAAATTTATATCCCCGCATGGATATTCAATTAGAATTGTTAAATTATTATATATTTTAAGAAAAATAATTTAAAATAAAGAATTTTTTTAAAAAATAAACTAACAAATAATTTTAAAGTTTAAATATAAAATATAAATACATTTGATCTATCATGAATATTATATTTGAGATTAGTTTAGTAGTAATAAATAACAATTATATTTAAACAATCAATATACATATTTTTCATTTTTATTTTTATAAAAAATGAAAATATGTTTCTAATTCTAACTTTAAGAAAAATAATTTTTAATTAAAATCTAATAATCATGTTTATATTGTAATATATATAATTAAATTATGTCTATTAAATCTTTTATTAGACAAAAAATTTAAATAATCAAGTCAAATTCGAATTAGATTCAGATTAAAATTTACTCCATTCACAAGCATTTTACGAGATGTTACACATTTCTTTTGCTTAATTCCTAATTATACAAATAAAACGTTTTTAGTCCAGTATACTAATAATTCTTTACTCTTGAAATTATGATAAAAATTGAAAATAAATATTAAAATGAAATTAATATTTTTAAAATCTAATTATGTTTGTTTGAAGAACGAACCAAAAATTCAAGATTAATCCTCTGGGATTCGTGGAATAGGGCTTTTATAGGCAATGATGAAATAAGTTGAACCCCTAGATTAAGTGTAGCACTTGGCTTCCAAAAGGTAGAATTTTTTTTAGACAAAATTATCCTTCAAATTTTTGAAAGGACAATTCTCTAATATTTATATTGATATAGTTGTCAATACTACTAGTACCGTGGGACATACTAGTGTGTAACTAGTATGTGAATATGCTTAGAGAGAGGACACATGCACTTCTAGTGTGTAACTTCAAGCTCTAGAAGTGTGAATTTAAATTAAATCTCTCCTACTTTAATCACATAGCGTTAAAGATATAATATTTATTTTATCTTAGAATTTTATCACTGCATAATGATCTTAGCGGCATTAATTAGAGATGATAGCTTCATGAGACAATGAGATTAAGTTTAAAATTTCATTTTTTCCCAGTGGTTGCATCTCAACGCTCGTACTAATCCAACAGACCTTCATCTTGACTAAGAAAAACTCACCTCTTTGCATGTAGGAAATTAAGCACCTCAAATCTCCTTTCTATACCTTTTAAGAATTCCAAGTCATCTTTTCAGAGAAACGAAACACCCCTTCCTTAGTCTTTAACAAGGCAAGAAAAGCCACTGGACCCTTCTTGTTCCTAATTTAGCAGAAGCATCTCCCATAAGGCACTGTATTTTCCTTTCTTGGAGAGACTTGCAGTTATTGACCGTCCCAAGCTGAAGAAGGAAGCTACCACTGAAAGCTTCCACCGCCCCAACACTAGCAACAATGCACGGGAACCAGAAATGGTGGGATAACTTAGAGAAGGATGAAGATGCTAAGTCCTTACTTCATTGCTACATGATGGAGCAGGAATTGAAATTAAAAATTTTTGTGGTCCTCAGAAAGAGGTATGCCTAAAACCTTTAAAAAGTTTATTTTATTCCTCAAAAGACCTTTATCCATAAATATCAAATTATGTAGCCACTTCTGCTATATCAAGGCCTAAACTAATATGAATTCAAAAGCAATGTTCACAACCATACAGTAAAAGATAGTGCCCTACAATTACAAAATCATCGCTGTAATTTATATAATTCCGCAGTACTAGACCATGCACTTATCTAACAAAAGTCCAAAAACTGAACAACAAAGCTCAAGAAACAGCACAAAAATAGTGTCCATGAACTTGCTCTTCAAAAATACTATTAAGTCTCCAAACTTGCTCCTCTTTCAATGACCTGAACTTTGAGGCAGCCTGAAGGAGCCCCCAGCATAAAGCATTTCATAAACAGGTTTAATCCTCTTCGTCAGAACTATGCTTAGTACTGTTCCTATAGTGCAAACACCAGCCAAAACCAGGAAGGTCAGCCTAAAGCAATTTGAACCCAAGCAAGAGTTACTGTGCTGCTTTGCTGCCTCGTCATCATATACGAATCCAGCAAGGAGACCCGAGAAGAGAAAAGCGCCAAGAGGGTTACCAAGTGTCATGAAATTGAAAATTATACCAAAATGCTTCAACCCAAAAAGCTCAGAGGCGGTTGGGACCATGGTAGAGGATTGGGCACCATAGCAGATTCCAGTATTGCAGTTGCTACATAAAGGGTACCATCAATAGCAGAAGCAAATAGAAGGTATGTGATGACCATTACTACTTGTGTGATTGTCATCCACATAGTTCTAGGAATGGTTTTTGACCTGCAAGGTATTGGAAAAAAACACAATTAAACAAAATCTTCCAAGGATGACCAGGAAATATGATTAGGCATGTTCTCAGTATAAATATATAGCAGTTTGTCATTGCTCTAAAGGTTTCACATGTCCTGTAGAAATTAAAAGGATGTTTCAATTACAAGTTTGCACAAAAGAATTTTGTCAGAAAGCAACTTTTACTGTGAAATTTCCTAGAAATGGTAATTAATGACTTCACACAAAGCATGATCAAATGATTGAAATAACAGCAATACATATGTATATGAATACCCAAACCAAATTTTCTTGGCCAAACTACACTTATCACTCCATTAGGTTTACATTAGTCCTTGTTGCAATTTAATCCCCGTATGTTACAGACACAAGGTAACTTAAAGGTAGATTTGTGATGTTAGTGGACAGGACAAGAGTGGAGCACTTTTAAATCAGAGAGAATTTTGAGCAAATCAAATCCACATGGTGTCACAACTAAAGTGAAACAACCTGTAAACTACAGGGACTAACAGTATAATTAGCCAATTTTCTTTAAGCAACCCCCAGTCAGTGACTTTGTATATAAGCAGTATCACAGGTCATTGCCCAAACGTTAAATCCGGCTGCCAGTGCTAATAATATAGCCATGAGCTTTTCCTTTTTAACATTATATTTCCACTGATTGGGTTTTGGACACATGCACATGCATCTTAATACTTCCTATCTCAAAATTAGCTACTCAGGAAATAAATGATTTTTGGTCACCTGACAAAATGTTCAGAAACTGCACCTCCACCAAGACGCCCAACAAAATTGCAGAAGCTGAACAGAGACAACAGGATTGTTGTATCATGTGTGCCTTGAGCTATCCCTATTTGAGCCAAGTTGTTGAGAACAGTAACCCCAGTACCAACACCAGCAAAATAAACCAAGAACAGAAGCCAGAAATCGGCTTTAATAAATGCTTCACCAAACTTGAAATCCTCCCCTCTTCTGGGCCGTCTCTTCTTCTTTACTGCACCCTCTCCCACAGCCAGAAGCATGTCAAGATCTAATGCACTATCACTCTCATGAAAACTACCAAGATTTGAAGTTGATGGAGATGGTTCAAGCAATGGTTGTTTTGTATCCAAAATTCCCTGAGATTGATTTAGTTGTTCAGAAGATCCCGATGATCGCCTAGCTTACTGCGATTCGAGGGGTAAAAAGTCATCTTTATAGGGATACCGAGTGGAGCCATGAGAAGCAGAACCATAATGACAAGGATGGAATATGAAATGGCAATATTTAAGGACATAACGTGGTCCAAAATTGTGGTAGTGAGAAGATATAAGCCAAGTACAACACTAGCAGCTTGGATGAAAAGGAAATGGACAGACTCTGCAAGTCTTCTCCAGAAGCAGGAGTACATGGTCTAACAAAATACATCAGTATAAAACAAACCAATGGGATTCCAACAGTAAGGAACATTAAGAACTTTGGAGAAGAATTCTGAAGCAAGACCCCGAATACTTCGGTGTACACTGCAGCACTAAGTCCCCCATAACCTTTGAGAATACCAGCAACAGTGCCTCGGCTGAGAGGGAAGTTTCTCATGTTGGTTACGAGAACAGCTGTTCCTATCCAGGCACTGCTATTGGTGGCAAGGCAAAGCGCAAGCCATAACTGCCAAGGAATAATAAAATTTTAAGACTGTTCAATATGTGCAGTTTGTCTATATATATGGGTTAAAGCCAATTGAAACTTCTACTGCTTAAGCATGTAGACATAACTTGTTATAATTCACTACATGGATATTCCAGCATCCATGTAATCAAGAAAGAGGCATTTAAAAGAGATCCACATAAGTTGAAAAGTAATTACTAAAGGCCTATTTGGCACTTCATGAAACAGCCCTACAACATGAGTGAAAGCAGAGAAAATATGGTTTTCTACTCATGCCTACTCTTAGACTACAAAACACATACATTTTTTTGTTTGTATTCATAACTTTGCTTCCTTCGTGCATTTCTTTTATGTGTATAGACAGCAGTTTGTATCCATACAAGCACTCAAAGGTGCATGAATTACAGACATAAATACCAACATCCCTGTTTATAAATTTACAGGAGTTCATGTGTATAATAGCAAAACCTAGTCATCCATAAGTTAGACTGAACTGGCACACAGCCCAAAGATATTAAGAAAAATGACAAAACAAAACGAAAAGAAACATAAGAGAGAAGAGCAAACTGCAAACCAAACAATTAAAAAAGGCTAGTACTCAGCCTAAAGATAGGTAGAGTTCTGAAGTTGCTAAATGGACGAATAAACTCACTAGATATCATCAGGTTAGCAAAAGTCAGTCCTAATAGAGCTTCTTTATCAAGAATTCCATGGTACAGCAATAATGGATAAGAAAATGTTGATCCAGAAAAGGCAAACAACCCAACCAAGGCATAGATAATTTTGTCTTTTTATATATCGAAACTTATGTTTGCTACCTTATCAAGTTACCAACTAGGATTAAGAAAACAAAAGAGCTTCACTGGGTTAACTGATATACGACAGATGCTACAACATGGTTATATACAGCCCATGGTGGAACTCCTCACGATCAAAGTCAATTGAATGAACTGATTTATATTTTGATAGATTCCTATTTATATTCACTGATTCCTAAATTTGGGAACCATCCACATCCACATAATACAGCGTCACAAGTCCTTAAGAACTATATCTGGCATCAACAAGTAAATAAAGCAGTTGACTCTGCTCGTTTCATCAAAATCTGACATCCTAGTTCATTCAATTTATTCAGTTGCAAGAATAAACTCACCTAGTTTCAAAGACTACGTAACTGAATAATTCTTCAAAATGGTATAAGATATACAAGATTCCGAAGTGTCCCCAAAATAGAAACTTTCTACCTTATCTTCCAAATAACACCCAGATCCCGGAACTAGAGAGCAACATTGTCGACGTTGATTGATAAATTAGTAATCAATTGAAGTCACAAACTGCTGAAATAGAAAATCCGAAATAACACTAAATCAACAAGCACCAGAACTCCTCAAGTTAGAAAATAGAAATCCCTTTATTAGACCCAAACAACAAGCAAAGCATATTATAAACAACGACATACACGTATCTACAGATAGAATATATGTGTCTGGGACAGCTTACCACCCAGTAAGGCAAGGACTGGACGGTTTGGCTGACAGCGAGCCAGAGCACGCCGTAGCCTAAAAAACAAGCCACCGCGCCGAAAATGAGAACAACCCAAGGGGGAAATTTGTTGCAGACAATGCCGGGGAGTATGCCGATGTTCTCGCCGATGTCGTTGGCGACGCCGAGCATGGTGACCTGGCGCTGGTTGAAACCCAGGACTGATTTCAGGGAGTGGGAGTAAAGGGGAAAGTTGTAACCGTTTCCGGAGGCGATCTGGAGCCAGACGGCGGCTCCCAGACCCAGCCACGGTGGCCGAGTTCCCAGCTTCAGGGTCACCATTGATGAGGGAGGGACGGAGAGAGAGAGTAAACTGAAGTATAGGGGCAACAGGGGAAATGAATTGTTCGGACAAGAAAGAGGAAAGTGAGGGATTAGAACGAGAAAATCGAGAATCGCGGAGCGAAAGGAAGGCAGCTTTTGTCCTGGAGCTAATGAACGTGTTCTCGGAGACGTTTACAAGCAGCGATCTGATGCGGGGGATGATGTGATGCTGCGTTCTTGTCAATTGGAGCTTTGCTCGACAACGATGTTATAAATTTAAGGTTCGTTTGGTCCTCTGTAAGTTGCAAACGTTTGTCTCTTGTCGCTAAAATATATAAAAATTCTTGAAATTCATCTTTTTGACATTTTTGTAAATGATTATTCAGGATAAGAGAACCGTCACCAAAAATCAATAAATTTATTCCATTTCTTTTTTATAGAAAATCTACCAAAAGAACTTAACTTTTATGGTTTGAACAAAAGAATCTTAAATTTTTTAGTAAATATAAAACTTGTAGTAAAGGAACCCATTTTTCTGAACCAAACACTCCTTTAGATTGAGCGAAAATTAGCTCTGTCATCTCTCCATACTTCGATTTTGTTACTTGGACGACCTCTCTTTAGAATTCAGCAACCAATTTAATCCCATTCGATTAAATTCAATAAATTTTAATTTTTATAACTTGAGAATATTTATTAGTTTTTAAGTTTTAATAGTTTTTATTTTTCAGTACTTGTGAAAATGGAATTATAGAGTTTCAGACTGACCCATTAAAATTTATTTCTATTAGAGTACAAAAGTTAAACAAATTGAAAAATAAAAGCATAGTTAAATTAAAAATGAAAAATAGCGGTGCAGATCATGCAACATCTGTCACATAGCTCCATGATTCAACCCACATCGGCCTTCTGGCGTGTACACCTTCGAGACCATGGATCAAACTGATAATGATCATTGTTTGATATGTATCATCTGTCCCCAGCAAACCAAACAATACCCCAGGATCCGTTTGGTCCTCAGCTTTTCGCTTTCTAGATTGTCTTTCGGTTTGCACTTCAGAAAACCAAACAATCAGAATATTATCATAAATTCTGGATTTCTAAGCCTTTTCGTTTCTTCATTTGTAGAAAACATAAATTATAATATCTTTGTTTTCATTATTTAGAATAAATGTCTCAAGTGTCGGGACTATAATTCATAGACTTTTGAATTTTAAATTTTTAAAAATATTTTAATTAATTTTTTTATCAAATTTGTAAAAAAATTAACATATTTTAAATTTAAAATTCTGAAATTTAAAATCATTATTTAAAATTTCCTTTAAAAATTTTTAAATAAAAATATATTAAAATATAATTTTTGAAGAACTAAAAATTACTTTTAAAATTCTCAAATTTAAAAGGAAATATATCAAAATTTAAAATTTTTGTA